GCGCAAGGCTGGGCCCCTCCCCAGCAAACAAGTATTTGCCGACATACCGAGATCTACAGTGTAGGTTGGGGATGCTGGGCTCGGTGTCAATGAAGTTTGCTTTGCCGTTTGATGGACAGCGTTCGCCATCAAGAACGCAGACGCAGAGGCGAGCGAAAAAAGTTTAAGGGCCGCCATCTTTCCAGTGTTGAAGTTGAATATCCGAAAGAGAAAACTGGAGGAGTGGGGAAGGTTTTGAGGGCCCTTAACTTCATATGTAACATATGCTGTGCAGTGTGTGTGCAGGAGGTGGCGGCGAGGGAGCGGACTGGGCCTGGCCCATCCGTTCCGGAATGGAGTCATTCTGCTGATGTGCTGGAGTTCGGTTTGCAACCCTGCCATTGCTAAAATTCTTTAATGAGGTATTTCAATTATTATTGTCTACACAATGCCCCCTGCCGCCGCCGAACGTGACGTGAAACCCCAGCGGAAAATCCCTGCCATCCCGGCTGAATCGGCGATGCTGAGGGCCGAGGTCCCTCGTGCTCGATTAGTGCTGTTCTGCCAATGCATCAGCTCCTTATAAGGCACGTGAGCCATTTATAAACTTAATTAGTGCAAATTGTCCCGAAACTGTGGTTGTCCGCTCTTCTGGCTGTGGCCCATGCACTTGTATGCTGCCCCTTCATCAGGGCGAGGTGTCCTTCGTCGATGATGTCAAGGCTTGTGCGCCCGAGTATAGAAAGGGAAAGTGCTACTGGTGGAAACTCCTAATATCAAACTCCTCAGCTTCCGCTATGTACTTCCGCAGCCTAAAAAGTGCGAACTGCGGCCGCTCGCTAGGCCTACTGCCCTCGTCCGCAACACGCACGCAACAGGGCAGGGCGGTATGCATGCACAAATGTGCGGAAACACCTGCGCAAGCTTGCAGCGACGCACAAGGTGCTGTGTTGATTACCGGATAGTCATAATGCCGGTCAATTGAATCAGTAAAAAAGAAGGAGTAAGTAGGACTCATGTCCAGGCAACAAGAGCAGCCGAGGCGACCAAGCATTTGCTGCCCATTGGAATAAAAAAGGCTGAGAAGGCGGTTAACTAGTGGCGCATGCAGCGCAAACCCAGCAGGCGCAAGCAAGAGTATAGGCCTGCGTTGAAACCTTTCGCTTGCCGCAGTCCTGTGGATGCAGCGGGAAGCAAACAGCTTACGCTGTACACGCCAGTCAGAGTTTCTGTTCCGAAGGAATGAAAATGTGAATAAGACACTGCGGAGCGCGGCTTTGGTTGAATAGTATCAGCAGCCGCCGCGTGCCATGGAGAGGTCACTTCTTTATAGGGCCAACAAGCCAACGGCCGCAATAGCGACGGCCAGCAGACTCGGGGCAACAGCAGAGGCAGAACCTGTGATGGATGCCTTGATCTTCTTCCACTGCTCTTCGCTGCGCGCAATTCGCCAACAGATGAACGACACACAACACTGTATTCGCATCCACGGGCCAAGCCATGCATACAACTATCCTCTTGCAAGAATGGATTGCCAACTTACTCGAAGGGAGCTGCCTTGTCTGTAAGTGCTTCAGGTGTGGTCATGCACAGTAGAGCATAGCCTGTCTTCCCTCCATCAGCGTTTGCGTCCTGCACTCCTGGGGTTCCGGCAGCTGCCGTTTGCGTGCAGGTAACGACCTGGCAGTCAGCAGCGGCATTCTCTTGAGGGTTGTACAGAGCAACAAACGAAATGTTCTGCTGTGTCTTGTAGATTGTCGTTTGGTCATTCTTCGCCGGAGGGATTGTAGTGAAGTTGCTGACGGCGTCCTTCCAGTGGCTCACTGCGGCGGCACAGTCGGCCGTCGCCGATTCCAAGGCCATGTAGGCGTATGTACCACTGTTAAATCCATGTTCAGCTACGTTATTTTCTACTTGTTCTGCGTCTTCCTGAAATGAAAAAAGCACAGATGAAGAAATGAGACATGAGGTAAAGATAGGAGGACGAAGGACAGAGGCCGTAGTGACAGATACTTACTCCTATCAGAGCCTTACAAACAGGATCCCATGCAGGATTTTTTTGCTCTTGTCTTTGATCCAGTGTAAGTGCAGGCCACTCTAGGGCTTCACCGCTCTCCTTTACGAAGTGTTTGAGTCCAGCGGCTTCGCGTGCAGCGTTCATTTCGTCGAGGCACACATTAGCTTCCGCTGCAGAAAAACGAACGATGCACACATCCTAAGCCCACATTTACACGTATTGATACTTGCAAATGTGGTTTGGAGCAATTTAATGCCCTTCGAAGGATTTCTTCGCTTCCAAGCCAACTGAACATCCTGCACAAATCGTCGCATCCAGCGCATTTACTTTGGACCACTACAAGGCTGAAACTCTCCCCAACAAACACGTATTTGCCAGCATACCGAGTTTTACAGTGTAGGTTGCGGACGATCCCTCCGCTATCAATGAAGCTTGCTTTGCCGTTTGATGAACGGCGTTCGCCATCAAGAACGCAGACGCAGAGGCGAGCGAAAAAAGTCTAAGGGCCGCCATGTTTTCAGTGTCGAAGTTGGATATGTGAAGGAGTAAAAGGGAAGAGTGGCGAAAGTGTTGAGGGCCCTCAGGTACAGATGTAACAGCATGCTATGCAGTGTGTGCAGGAAGTGGCGGCGAGGGAGCGGACCACGGCTGGCCTATCCGGTCCGGCATCCTGGCTATGCTCTATAGTTGAATTTACAGCCCTGCCGTTGTTAAAAACCTTAATGAGGTATTTCAAGAATTATTGTCTACACGGTGCCCCCTGCCGCCGCTGAATGCCACGTGAAACGCCGGCGGAAACTCCTTGCCATTCTGGGTGAATCGGGGACGCGGAGGGCCGAGGTCCAGCGTACGCGATTAATGTTGTTCTGTCCATGTGCAAACTCTTCATAAGGTACGTGAGCCAGTTATGAATCATATTAGTATAGATTGTCCTGAAACAGTGGTTCTCCGCCCTTCTGGACGCAGCCCACGGCGCTGCATGATGCCCCTTCATCGGGGCAAGTTGCCCTGCGTCGATGCTCTCAAGGCTTGTGCGCCCGAATCTAAAAAGGCAAAACGCTACTGGCAGCCACCATCCTACCAAACACTTCTGCTTCCCGTCTGTACCTAGCTAGCCTAAAAAGTGCGAAATGCGGCCTGGCGCTGGCCCTAACCCTCTCATCCTCTACATGCAAGCATACAGGGAGGTATGCACGCACAAATGTGCGGAAACGCCTGGGCAAGCGTGCAGCGACGAACAATGTGCTGGATCGATAAACGGAGAGTCATAATTCCGGTCAATTGAACCAGTAAAAAGGAAGAAGTGTGTAGG